TATTTTGTGGGCGTGTGCTATGTTTCCAAATCACTTCAGATGATGTGATTTTCAAAATGTGTTATGTAAGAAATTGTCAAACCGACCAGAGGCAGTTGAATTGACTATACTTTATTAATGGGCAATTAAATTAACAATTATTATAAAATCGTGAGGAAAAAATTATTAAAATTTGAATGGAATGAAGTTTATTGGCGGAATAGTGTATTTTATATAATTTTGACCATTGTACCATTTATCCAGCTTTCACCATATTACTGGGTGTTTCCCTCATCCTGAACGTAAACAACAATTAACAACATCCTCACATACTACTGTAAGTTAAGTTAATTTAAATTCATTTTACACTATTGTTGCTACTGTTATCAATTTAATTGCAGCTCCTGATGATGATGGCAAAGTCCATTGAAAGCTAGAGAGAATAAAAAAAGTATAAAGAGTCCTCTTTACTTAAAATTTTTGTCGAAGTACCCAACAAAAGGCGGAAGCTTTAAATTTTCACCTATATATATATAAAACATAATATGCCATACAAAACAGAACATACGAGAACATGGCCAATGCAGTTTTTATGAGAGCACAATTCATACAAAAAAGAACAAGACGACGTAAAAAGAAACATACGGGGACATTATCTTTTAAAACGTAGCGGGGTTTGATTATACCTTAGGCCCTGGGTCATGCAGGAGATCAGGTTTCAATCTTTTTTTAAAATTGCGGAGGCTCAGATTCTTGAGATCCATTGCCAAGCTGTTATACAGTTTCGCAGCATTGTATGAAAAGGTGCGCTTAAACAGAGCCGTTGAATGTTTAGGAATAACCAAAAGATGTTTATTGCGAGTTACTTTATTATTATTGGGCTGGATTTATACATTCTTTAGAGTGAATGCAAAGGGTAACTTTTTTTTATCAATCTTCAAAGCTATAGAAGGATTGGAAAGAGGGTAAAAACACCTTCAAAATAGGTATCATCGCAACAATTAAACGATTATTGCAAAAAACCGTTCATTTTTGCAGAAAAGTGCATTAGAGTAAATATAAAATAGTAGCCAAAAGTTGAAGCCTTTGTAGTGAATAACATCGAAAAAAAATCTTCAAAAATGCTTATGCTATCCCATTACTGTAAAACATCAAAAATGTTATTTACAAAAATTGTGGACTATACGCTTCCTACCTAGCTCGGCAAAAAGGGAAACATCTCAAATTTTTGATTCCATGGCATATGTAGGGAATATAATATATGTGACTTATTATGTCATCAATCACATCACTGAGATCAAACTTTCATTTTTTTTGGGATATTTATAAATCTCACTATCCAGGAAAATTTTAGACTCAATAATCCTCCGATATTTCTTTTCCTGAATTCTCACTTGATAAACTCTCACCAAGAGACATAACAAGATGAAAACTAATCTCTCGTCGGATAATTTTGACGCGGTGCACACATCTTGTCGAGTTCTTAAATTACACCTGTCTCGTAAACCATCGTAAGTAACATTCACGGATGTGTCCGACAATTTATGTCTTTTTTGAAGTGCCTCACAAGATGCAGCCACTGCAGTCGCCTCTTTAATTTTAGTTTTCCAACGTCCAATTTTAGAACGGTGTAAAGCCCTGTGCTATCTATCTCACCGAATCAGAAAATAAATGTTGTCGCTAAGGACTATCAGAGTAGATGATTCCGCAGCCCCACAAAAAAAAGCAGACAAATAAATTGGCTCAATACTTCCTACCAAAAGGTGAGATCGAATGTTGGTTAGGTAGGGTCACTTGGGTACAATGAATCTTCGACATTTGCATATCAAACTATACAGGGTGTCCGCAAAGTTGGGGTTTTCCTTTACACGTCGTGTAGATCTTGAAAACATAAGCAATTTTTCTTAGTACCACATACACCAATGTCTTAAGGGAACCGAGATAAAGGGCTCTGCAACATCAAAAATATCTGAATACCGTCCTGTAGCCGCGACATCCCCGAGTGGTACTAAGACACTAGCTCAACCCGACGACAGAACTGGATCGGGGTCAGTGTGTCAGGTCAGTATGCAACCTTCAACCGACGGTAACGGTCACGCGTGTAGAGGTAATCGCGTAGACGAGAATCCCTCAACAAGCACTAGAGACCTGGCTAGAGAAGTGCAAGTATCAAACACCAAAGTGTGGCAAACGCTGCGTGAAGAGGGGCTGTATCCGTTTCACGTCCAACGTGTACAAGCCCTTCAACCTGACGATTTTACAGCAAGAGAGCGGTTTTGTGAGTGGTTGTTGCATCAACATGACAATAATCCGGACTTTTTGAAGTGCATATTGGTGAGAGACGAATCTACGTACACGCGTAATGGGGTGAATAACTTTCGCAACACTCATGTTTGGTCAGTAGAAAATCCGCACGCTGTCCGTCGACAAACATTTTCGGTGAATGTTTGGGCTGGCATGGTGAACGGTATGCTCATTGGACCATTTATTCTTATAAATCGATTGGACGGGATGCAATACCTAGACTTTTTACGCAACATTTTGCCTTCCTTGTTAGAAGATGTGCCATTAAGTGTAAGACAATCAATGTGGTTTCTTCACGATGGTGCACTGCCCCATTTTAGACGCGAAGTCCGTGAGTTTTTGAATGAATTATTTCCGAATAGGTGGATCGGACGTAATGAACCCGTAGCGTGGCCTCCGCGATCTCCAGACTTAACAACATGTGATTTTTTTTCTTTTGGGGAGAAATGAAACGCTTAGTGTACAAAACTGAAGTGCATACGGTTGACGAACTTCGTCTCAGAATTGAACAAGCTGGTGCTTTCATTCGGGGGAGGGACTCTATTCTCAAAGCCTGCACCGATGCTTGGCTATGTCGTGTACGCACCTGTGTTTTTGAATCAAACGGCGATAACTTCGAACAATACCTATAAAGTACGTTTACCTAAAAACTGAAAACGTGGCAACGCCGTCATATTTGTTACCTCTGTTCGTGGTCTGCACCACCGCCTGCGTCTGCTTGGTAGCGCATCAGCTGATTTCATTTTCTGTTGGAGCGGTATGATCTCGGGCAGAGACGTGTGAACTGAACTACAAGTTCACAAGGGGATCTAGAGGGACTTTTGAGACGGGGGAACTTCTGGGAGCGAATGTATTCTTCTGATATTATGACAACTGAGAAACGGGGAAGGGGGTTACCGACAAGCGGGGGGACAAGAATTTTCTGCGTAATTACCTTTTCATAGTGACCTTTTGGGGGCTTATCGTACAGAAACGGTAATAACCGTACATTTAGCAACACTATGTCAAAAGTGTTAGGAAGGGATGTTGTTGATAAAACACGATACCTAGACGTGACATTTGACCACAAACGTCGTCGTGCTTAGAAGACAAAATTTCCGCTGGTCCTAATTTTATGTTTGATTAATCCATACACATATAAGCAAAAATTGATTACAAATTAATTGCCTTCAGAAATATTACTGGGTGTTACTAAAATAGCCAATTGCTATTTGAAGCCATCAAATCGCCACAATTGCCACACCTGGCAACCCTGGCTGCGGGATGCACTGCGCATGGCGAAGGCCAATATCGTCATACACGCGGGATTGGTCATAGCAACGATCATGTGCGTCCGCAGAAATTTCTCTCAGGGGTGGGAGCAAATGCATGTACCTTTTTGTTATACATGATCGTAGTTAACCTTGTTCTCAGGAGAGCTAAGGAACATAATCCTTCACGAACTGATCACAGTGACGCGTAAGAAGTAAAGAGACAACTCACTTGACGTCATTTTTTTATGTTGCTTATCTGTCTCGACACCACTGGAGCGGCTGATAAAAACAAACATCTCTGCGGAACCTAGAAAACTCTTGGTTCAACGTACCACCGCTGAGTCTCTCTTGATTTCTTAAATAAGTGCCTATTTATATCTAAAATTAATAGCAGAAAGGCTTTAATTTAAGTATCTCTCACCAAGGGAGAACATTTTCCTAATCTACGGTTACAGCACGGAGAAATTTTAGATTCTACGATTTTATAGAGTGTATCTATACCGGGTGTTTCAAATTCTTGCTTAGTTTTTGAGAAAAAAAAGTCCACCTATTTGCCCATCAATGGGCCGTACAAAGGATATGGAGAAAATTTCTTTTGGCAATTATTATTTTTTTTATAATTTTTTATTACTAGTTACAACAATTAACATCTAGACTAATATATTTCACTAAATTACGTGTTGGAAATGGCCCCATTCGGCATGAATATAACCGCCTATAAAAACTAAACAAGATACGAAAAAATTCAAGAAACAAAAAAGTTGTATGTATATTTGCTTAATTCAAACATAATAAATACGTCACAGGCATTCTCTCAGATCCAGCACGATACGCCGCTGGATTTGATACATTTAATCAAGTTAAATTAGCTCCTTGATATTATAAATGAAAAAATGAAATTACAAAAAAATTAGTTGAAGGATATTTAAGACATTTACGACTAACATTTTTTTTTAAATTTGAACACCCGTTATCGTCGATATTGAAAGGCTATGTTTTTTTGAATTTTAGGATATTTCAGGTTGACATAACAGATGATATAAATCAAAAGCATGAACAATTTGATGCCAATACATATTTGTAACATAACCTCGAAATAGAGCGCTGAAACGGAACAATAGAAAACTATGAAAATCAAGGAGGCCATAAAGGCGTCTAACAATTATTGTACGAACTACTGACGATACGACCCTTGGATGACGAAACGTCATATTGAAATTCAAATTATGTCATCTATAGGACAAAGGTGGCAATGCTAATGTACTTGAAATCGCCTTCTCAAATCAAGTCATGGAAAAATAAAAACGATTTTGAGTAAATTTCTCTGAAAATCCTCAAGAGTTGCTTGCCATTTTCTTGGTTGTCTAAACGCGCAACATATCTCTCATTCAGCCGACCGTTCTGAGAATTTGAAACACTGAATGTTTCCTAGATCAGTGTTAATATTTAGTATTTTTGTTTCAGTTTTGGGAAATAATATCTGCAGAACACGGCATAGACCCTGATGGCGTTTACACAGGAGATAGTGAACTGCAATTAGAAAGGATCAATGTATACTACAATGAAGCAACAGGTAAGAACCAAGCAGAATAAATCTATTATTTTAAAGAGTATTACGAATATCTACCCTACTTTATGTATAATGGAAACGTAATTATTCTGTTCTTGCTTCATGTATAGGTCAGGAAACTACAAACTGGAACAGAATAATCTGAAAATATTTTTTCCAATTTGTATCTACAAAAAAGTATTGATCTATATCTACCATACTCACTTCTTTAAGACCATAATTAATAGTTGAAGAAATGCAAAGATTTTATTAATTTTTTGAATGATGGCTTGCGAAGTGACCAATTTATCCTACTTTTTGGGGTCACTGCACTGTGGAAATTCTTAACATTGTTAGACTAATTTTTATTCAAGATGATAACGACTTCCTTGTTATAAACGCATACGATAATTCTAAATCTTCATTACTGCATTTTATTGGGTTGAGTTTGTCTGAAATAATTAATAATGATTGAGTTTATCTAGCCGTACACAGATCAAGACTGGGGATTAGGCTAGTTAGTGCGTGGATTTTATTAAAGCGGGGGTTATATCATTTGAAGCTGGTCGTAATGAAGATAACATGAAATACACAGAAAAATTATATATATATATATACACAGGGTGACTTTGAAGTTGAGTCATTAATTTTCAGATAATGATTGTAGAAGGAAGATAAACCAAAATATGTGTGTAAAAATAAAAAAAAAAAAATAAAAAAAAAATGTTACCTTGTTTTATAAAGTATCCTCCCGACAAGTATTTCAGTGCGGACCTGTATTTGATCGTGCGGTCTTGGAGCACCGGCATGCCCTCCCCTGTGAGGTCTTAAGTCACCTGATTCACGAGCCCTTTGTACTGCATTCAGCATTTTCGTAAACATGTGCCATTTTTTATTCACTATTCACTCACGCATTACCGACTGACACGTCGACTGAATACAACTGAATAAGATTGTACATTGTAGTAAAAACATCGTTTCAAATTCTTTCGCTTTTTAGTTTCCGATGCGATGAACGGATAAGGCGGATTATATCCGTTGTTGCCAAACACGAGCACATAATATTATTATTGAGACAGGGCGGTACTCAAACTTCTAAAGGGCTATAACTTTGTTACTTTAATTTTACCAGAAAAATGTTTAAGGAAAAAACATTTCTTTTGATCAGATCTACTCACTGTTAAAATAAATGACTCAACCTATATATATATATAGGTGAAAAATTAAAGCTTCCGCCTTTTGTTGGGTACTTCGACAAAATTTAAGCAAAGAGGACTCTTTATACTTTTTTTAATTCTCTCTAGCTTTCAATGGACTTTGCCATCATCATCAGGAGCTGCAATGATAACAGTAGCAACAAAAGTGTAAAATGAATTTAAATTGAATCAACTTACAGTAGTAGGTATGTGAGGATGTTGCTAATTGTTGTTTTCGTATAGGATGAGGGAAACGTCCAGTAACATGGTGAGAGCTGGATACATGGTACAATGGTTAAAATTATATAAAATATGACAAGACAAGTTAAAGACAGATTAAAAATTATTTAGAAAACATTAGAGCATTACGTCGTGAAGCCACTTGATGATTGCACAAAATGGTGGTCATGGAATAATGAGTGAGATGAACCTTTGACAGAAGGCCGAAGGTTGTCATTGTCTGTGTTGACAGATGGAACGAATTGTGGGCGTGTGCCAAAACGTTGCCAAATCACTTCAGATGATGTGATTTTCAGAATGTTATGTAAGAAATTGTTAAACCGACCAGAGACAGTTGAATAAACTATATTTTAATTAATGGGAATTTTAAATTAATAATTATTAATAAATCGTGAGAAGAGAATTATTAGATTTTGAGTGGAATCAAATTTGTTGGTGGAATCGGCTAAAACACAGATTATATTTATGGTTGTGAAAAGTCGAAATTTGGGGAGATATGCAAGTTCTACAATTTTTCGCAGTTTAGCAAATATATATATATGTATATACATATATATTGGATTGTGCGCAAGTAGCAACTGCTGATAGGGCTGTTTCGCGGTCATTAGCAATTCGTTAGTTTTTTTGTTCTTATAAATATTCTGATTATACTTGTTAAAAAAGAAAAACAATTTTTGACGCAATTTTAGCTCTGGCAACATGCAAAATTATCAAAAGGGGTATTGAGATTATGCGAAAAACAATCACAAATATTTTTATAAGCAGATGCGAAGATACTCCCTGTACTATAACTACCCAGGTAGCCGATGGCCGGCATTCGATCCCCTCTGAAGTGTGTCACGTGGCTGTTGGATGTGTACAGGGCGATTCACTGTGACAAAATAAATGAGGGAATTGGTGTTCCGATGCCTTGCTAATAATTTTAGGAAAGTTGTTATTCCAGCATGTTTGGAATCCGTTTTTCCACAATACAGGAGCTCAAGTGGAGGTGTAATTGACTAAGGAGATCCTTCCAAAATTTATCGGTGATTCAGGAATGTACAAAACGCGATATCATAAAAATGCGATGTGTAGTTTTACTTCTAATTAAAAAAAAAACATGATCAATTTGGAGGCTTGATAGCGCATATTTGTTCTTAAAAAAATATCAGCATCTTTAGAAGTCAGAAGATCAAAGGCTTTTTCGCGATTGTCCCTTTGTATTCTTTGCTTCTGGGTTACCTACCAAATCTGTAATATAACGTTTCCGGTAAATTGAATTTAACTATGTACTCCTTGCATGTTCCTCTAATGTAGTTGTCAATGAAGAAGTAATGCAGACATGTAGTGTGTTATAATTACACTTCATATTTATAATTTAAAGGTCGTTAAACCTGCTTGTAATTGGAACTGAACCAATCGGGGCGTGAACATCTTGCGCAGGCAGAACGCAAAATTGTGATTCGCGTTTCGGTTTATTACCTATCGCCTTTTTTCAGTTTGCTCCGAGACATTCACACTTCCGTGAAATACGGTCAACTTAAGTGTTTTTAACGATTTACGATTTCACATTACAAGTATCAACGAAAATGATGGCACAGGGGCTTATATTAATAACCCTGGATTCAAGTACTGTCATCACCCGTTGTCGATTCATATTTTATATTATTTTTGAAATAATTGGCAGTGGCGGCTCGTGGCAAAATAAAACACGTGTTCTGCAAATCCGAACTTACCTATTTTTTATATGTCAGTTCGATCATACGCTCCTTCTTGGCAGCAAATTTTCCGTTGAAATTTTCAATGGTCGAAATAAATTCCTTTTCAATGGACAGCATCGACAACGCTGTAAGGCGATCCTGGGTCATACTATTTCGAAGAAAGGTCTTGATTCTTTTCAATGTTGAGAAATTTCGCTCAGCCTCTGATGTTGACATAGGAGTTGTAACAATAATTTCTAATAGCTTTTTTGTTTCTTTTAGTGTTTCCTCTAAACTATTTTGTATCAAAAATTTCAAAAGAGACAGAGCTCCATGTAAATCTCGGCAATCATTCCGTGCATAAATAACAGACAAATCTGTCTTTAAACGACTTTTTTCTAATTCGGGATAAGCAAAGCAGGTAGTTTCCAACTTATCAGGAAACTTACCACAGTATTCTCCAAAGGGTTCGGGGAAAAAAAGGGATGCGGCTACCAAATGATCTTTGAATTGAAATCTGTCATTTGCAGAATTCACTATATTGTCGCATACTTCTAATGCGGCCACTCGGTGATCGTGACTGCTATTATTACGTCGTCTCCTTTTGTTGCCTTGTGGTTCAGTGCAAATACTTTTGGCTTCATTTATTATGTCATCAATTTTATTTCTCACATCGACAATACATTTTTCAAAGTTATCGATAGCCGTTTTAACTTGCGCTGGCTCGGTTTTTCTCTTCTGCAACTGGTTGAACAAGATGTCGACGTGAGGCATGACATGATGAAAAAATATCCAATACCGCCGAGGACCGAGCACCGTCCGACCAATCAGATATCGTACTTCGCATTAGATCTGTATAACTTGTTTTTTTTTTTTGGTGAGGGGGGAATGCGTTTACGCACCATACCATAGCCCGAGCTACGGCGTGTGTGAGACTCCAGGTTGTCTTGAGGAGACCACCTAATACCCACTAAACCCTAACCTCCGCGTGGCCCGACTCATCAGTGTCTCGGTAGGCCATGTGTTGTGCGTGACCTGCGGTCTGCTACAACGTCTCCTCATTCTCCTCATGTGTTTCAGTCTGTGGGAACGCCGGGTTGGTTCCCTTTACGTATAACTTGCAGCACATGCTTATGCTTAAATCGCGCATTTGATTTTGTAGAGAGAGACAAAACCAAGCGCGTGCGGCTTTTGTCGAAGTAGTGCACAGACCCTTTTCAAGTGGCCGATGAATAATGTTACGCTGCGGTCGCGACGAAAATGACAAGTACACAATTGGTCGATTATGATGCTTTCTCGACGCCGTGTCTTGCGGGGGCAGCGTTGCCGGTATTGTGATAACATGGAAAATAAATAATGATCAAATTACTACTGCTTTTTTCTGTTAAGACAAAAGTTTTGGCAGTTCTGCAGCTTTGCAGAACTTAAGGGTCAGCCGGGGATAATTGGCTACACATTAAAATGATAAGAAACTAAAAAAGTTCAACAAGCCATTTTTAGAATGGTGAAAGGATCAGCGTTTTCAAGTTGACCGCATCTAATGTCTTTTTCACGAGTATTCATCAGCTGGTTGTGTAGTAATATTTCAAAATTCCCTTTCTGTACGAAGAAATGTAATTGCCTGGACCTTTTTTCTGAAAGTATTAATGTAGTATACGTCTGTTTTCGAAATCTCGTACGATTAAAACGACCGCGAGTTCAAAATATTGGAAAGTAAACTCGAGATAACGAAAAAACAGTAGCGTCTGAAAAATTAGGCAAAATGCTCGGTATTAGTCTCTAATACATTATTTGAAGTTTCAGCGTTGTAGCTTGTATAGTTTTCGAGAGCATTTTAATTGTTTATAACAGATTTGCTATGCATCCAACGTTCGCTTGACATGTGTCAGTGTCAAGTACAGTGGAATAA